GCTGCCGCTGGGCCCAGGAGACCTCGGGGCGGCTCCGGAGCGGAGAATGTCCCTGGGCTCGCGCGCCTCCGCCCCTTGTGGGGTGGGGAGAGGCAACTCGGGGACTCGGGTGGGCGCGGCGCGCGAACGCGCCCCGGTGCTCGCGCGCGGCCGGGCCTGTTTATACGCGGGCACGCGCGCGCTGTGCGGCCCTTGGGGCGCGCGTGGCCGCCGACGTGCGCGTTCCCGGTTCGGATATCTCCGCTCCTGGTGCTGCGGCTCTTGGGCAAGAGCGGCTTTCTGTGGCGCGCGCCCGCCCGCGACCCCCGGCTTCGGGGCGCGCGCCCTGCTGTTGGGTGGCGGCGCCGCCGCCGCGAGGACGCGCAGGACACCTCTGCTGCGTGGAGCGGCGGCGAGCTGGCGGGCAGCTCGCAGTGTGAGGAAGGTTGTGGGTTGGGCCCTTCCTGCTCTGGTGACGTCCCCGGACCGCCGTGGCCTAGGCCTGGGGAGAAACCAACCGGCTTTGCCGTCTGACTGGAGACTCCGCTCTTCTGCGAGGCGAGCGAGATTGCTCGTTCTTCTCGAAGAATGCAGTGACCTGAGGCCAATGTGCGGGGAGGGTGCTGCCCTGTTTCTGAAACTGAGCCCTGTAGGTCTGTGAGGGCAGCGAGCCCCCTCGAGTTTCCTCACCTTGTTCTGGTGCTTTGTGCTGGAGAGGGAAGGTTAATCCTGGAAGGCTCTTCAGCGGTACCTGCTTTCTTGTCATTGTAAAGTAATTCTTGCATAAGCGCAATTCCTACACGTCACCTCTGTGCGCTCCGGAAGGGGATCCTCTTCTGTGGTCGTGAAACTACCCGAGTTTTAAAATTCCACTTCAAATCCTTAAATGCAGCCTTTTCTTCTGTGCGGGCGGGAGGAGCTTACTTGTATTCTGTTAAGACTAAGGAAGGCCCGCTATCGATCAGCCAAAAAAGTTGCCCAGAACAAAATTAAACAACCTGAGAAATCTGTGCTTTGCCTTCTTTTATAATTACAAAATTCTCCAACAGAAATTTCTAAAATCTGTTCATATATCACTGCAGAAGTCACTTTTGATGTAGAATTTCAATTCAGCTTTTTTTGTTGTTCTGGTACTAGGGGAGTTCTAGGTTTGTCCTAGAGAAATATGCACTTCTTTTTTCTAAGACAAGACATCAGACTGTTTTACAGTCTTGGTTAATTAAGTTGAAGGAAAAAGAAACTAAGGAGGTAAAATTAGCAACCAAATTTAATAATGATGGGGGTAGTTCTTTTAATATACTGTATTTTAAGAACAAAGTTAAAATTTAAAAAGAGGCTTAGGATGGAAAGGACTTCTTTGTTCTATCTTCTTCAGAATGTTACAAGTCTTAAGAACTCAGGACAAGCAGCAGAAATACATGCAACATGGTGACTGGTGAGTTAAAATCATTCGTATGCTGGAAATATGTGTGCAGTCTTTTTCCTCGTAGTATTGAAACATTACAAATCCTGCCAATCATTCTGGGTGCTGTCTGACAGAAACTACTAAGTGCTGGGAAATCGAAGATGTGGGAGAACTGCATCTTTGAATCCAGCCACAGTTTGCTGCTTGAACACTTTTCTTCTCTTGAAATGTAAGTCAATGCAACTTTCAGGTTTTAGCATTAGGACACATCAGCTTTTCTAAGGACCTTAAATGGTTCAAAGAAAAGCAGTAAAGTTTGATATAGGCTTAAAATTTTAATATACCTTTTAGGCCTGCTTATTCTGGGATATCTTTGTTTTTAACTGTTAAGTTTGAGATCTGCCTTTTAAATTGGTGTTTGTAGATAATATTTTTTGTAAGCTCATTAATTTAGATTTACCTACTAGAAGATGTCTTACTTCCAGCCCTCTGTGATGAATAATTTGTGTACCTTTTCATGAACCTTTGCTTTCCACATTCCCTTTCCAGCTTACATTGTTGCCATTTCACACAAAAGATCAAATAGGGATTCAAATTTCTTACAAATGTGAATTGCTCCCTAAATTAGGTAACCAAAGTCAGGGGCTCTAGGTATGGCTGTCTTCCATTATGACAGCTTCAGAATCAGGGATCTCTTCCTTAAAGCTTGCATGCTGTCTTTTAATTTAATCAGTTGTGGTTTGTTCTTTATGTGTCATGCTTTTTGCTTGTCTACTTTTTAAATGGCCACTCTTTATCTGTAGTCTTATACTTCTCAGCCTCAGAATGAGATGTTGTATGAGCACCTGTTCTTTTCTGTTACTTTGTACTTAGTTGCCCTGCATTTTGTTCCAGATGTTTTAAGTCCTCTCCAGGCTAAATGCTCCATTTGTCACACTGGATTGTGATTTCTGATTTTGGCTGCATGAACAAATGATAGATTAACCTCTTGCTTTGCTGAAAAGGGGGAAAGAATGAACCTTTGGTGTCACACTTGAGGCTAGAGCGAAATTGTAGGTAGAGCTGGTTGGCTGTGTCAGAAAGCTTTTTTTTTTTTTTTTTGAAATATCTATCTGTAAATTCAGGTGGATCTGTATAAAATTTAATGAAAAGTTAATTGTAATGAAAAGTAAAATGAACAAACTGTGTAACACCACCTCTTCAAGAAGTGGAACAGTGCTAGCACCACTGCACCCTTCATTGGTCCCTTCCTAGTCATAGCTTCTCAACCACTAGAGATAATTTTCATTCTGACTTCTGTGACAGTCGTGTTCTTTTTCTTTTTACTTTTATCACCTTCATATCCCTCAACAACATAGTTTTGTTTGCTTTTGAGTTTTATGTAAATGGAATCATGCTGTATTTTATGTTTTCCTTCTTTTAGCGTTGCTAAATTCATCCATGTTGTGTGCTACTGTAGTTCATTCATTCCAGTTTCTTTGTAGTATTCAGCTATGTGACTGTATCACAATTTACTTATCCCTTCTACTATTGATAGACATCTAGCTTTCTTCCGGTTTGGACTGTTATTAACAGTACTACTGTGAACATTGTTGTGTAAGTACCTTTCTATATGTGTGTGTCATACACACCTAGGAATAGAATTCCTGGGTTATATGAAGGGAATATTGTCAACTTTACTAGTTAATGCAAATGGTTGTGCCAGTTTACAGCCCATCAGTCTTTGGCGGGAATGTGAATTTAAGATCCTGGTTGAAAGTGTGTTGTCCAAAAATAGAACGATGGCAAAAATGCCCCTAAATCAGGGATTCCTCTGGTAAAGGCATGGGGTAGATGAATGGCCCAATAGGATAATTAATACCTATCACAAACCCTATATTGGTTTAGTATCTTTTAAGAATAGAAGCGTATCTCCCAATTTCCTTCTTTGAAATGATTCTTTATGTTAATTAGGACAAATGTGACTGCAACTCCTTAAAATAGAAATTGATTTCTTTTTTAATGTGAATGTGTTCTTCAAGCCAGACTTACAAAGCTGTGAGGAGCCATCTACACATAGAGTAGATGTGAACAGTGAGAGGGGCCCAGTAACATGACTGGGTAAACAGGAAGAGGCAGGGCTCTGAGGCAGCTCAGAGTTTCTTCTTTTAGTCCATCTCATATTCAAGACCCACCTTGTGGAACTGCATGGGGAACTGGGAAGAGGTATCAGAAATTTGAGGCGACCCAAGATAGGATGATTCTGGTGAGTACTTAAGTCTTCCTTTAGTACCTAAATAGAAAAAAGAAACTGGCAAAGAGACCTATAAAAATGTAATAGATTGTTCCTTTAGAGTAAACTTTGTCCATCATACCTTCTTGTGTTCTAGCTATAAAATAATAAAAGTAATGATAACTTTAATACATTGAGGGCCTAAATCTATGTCAGACACTGTGCTAAGCTCCAGTAGAAGGTACAAGGGAACTACTAGTGATTAATAGGTGTATACAAGTGAAAATTTCCTAGGTCTGTTGGTGTGGGGTTTGTCTGTTTATTGTTTTGCAAAGCAGCTATGCTTAAAAGTATTCAGAAGCAAATGCTTGTTTACAGACTCCCCTACCCCAGTGAGCCCCAAAGTGTTTTCCTCGCTCTTTCCTTTTTGACTCCCAGAAATTGGGAGTATTCAACTATCCCTTCAGCTTCATGTTTTTTGAAGTATTTTAATTAATCAGTTTATTTACTGCTCCTCACCAAGTCTTTGACTTGGAGCTAATTAAGAATCTTGCTTCTTTGGGGTGGGTAGAGAGTTTCTCTATTTCTCCATTACCAAGGCTCACCCTGTGTTTCTTGAGAGCAGCATCTTGAAGAAGTTAACAATCTTCATTATTATGCAAGCTCTGGTGCTTGATGATTTTGTCTTTAAGAGTTTCAGATTTTGAGGGAAAAATCATGCTATGATCAGCCAGAATTGTTTGTGTCTATTACTGTTACTGTGGTATAATCACTGTGTAAAAAGATTAATTTTTAATTATCTTTTTGATTTAATACAAATTGTGGAAAACACAGGGGAGTATTAAACAGGAAGAAATATAAGTTCTCTGTGATTCTGCCACCAAGACATAACTACTGTTGGCAGGTCCTTTTGCATTTTTTTCCTTAGGCGTATAAACAATACTGGGATATATAAATACAATTGTATTGGTTTCCTTTTCACACATAACTTATTTCTGTGTTGTTAAATTTAAAAATTTAAATTAACTTTGTGTTGAGGGGACAAGGAATCTTCCAGATATTAACATTTCCCTCTCTCTCTCTTTTTTTTTTTTTTTTTTTGCTACTGTGTTAATGGAAAGATCTGTAGAACACTTAGTAAATGCTTAGTAGGAGTGGACTTTCTTTATATGAATTTGGTATATGATAACAGTGGCATTTCAAGTCAGTGGGCAAAGGAATTTCAATAATTCAATAAATAATACAGGGATGAGTTGTTTGCTCTTTGGAAAAAATAAAATTAGACTTGTACCTCACATTATGCAAAATAAATTTTAAATGGATCAAAGCATTGTATTAAAAAATTACACTGTAAGTCAAAAAAATTATAGGTGATTAACGACCTGATTTTATGGTAGGGAGGGCTTTTTCTGAGCATAAAAACAAAGGAAGAAACCATGATCACCACTATTGAGAATTTGCTTAATTTTTCTGTGGGTTTTTTTTTTTTTTTACTCACTGACTAGTTTAACATATTTAAATATTATTTCTGAAGCTTTCCCTCCACCCCCCACCCCTTCTAAACAGCACTTTTGTGTCAGGTCAAATGCTGACTTAGTGTATTTTCATTATTGGGATGTGTCAGTCTGGTGGATACTGCCAAGTGAGCAGGTTAAAAGGACAAGAAATGAAGCCATGTGTGTTTTAGTCTGTATAAATGGGCAGATTGGAATGTTCTTTCAAATTGGCCTTTTCCATTAAATTTTTATGTTCTCCAGGGGGCGCCTGGCTGGCTCAGTAGAGCATGCAACTCTTGATTTCTGGGTTGTGAGTTTGGCCCCACCTTGGGTGTAGAGATTACTTAAAAATAAAATCTTTTTTTTTTTAAAGATTTTACTTATTTATTTGACAGAGAGATAGAGAGACAGCACAAGTAGGCAGAGTGGCAGGGAGAGGGAGAAGCAGGCTTCCCGCTGAGCGGGGAGCCCGATGCGGGGCTCGATCCCAGGATCCCGGGATCATGACCTGAGCCGAAAGCAGCCGCTTAGCCGACTGAGCCACCCAGGCGCCCCTACTAAAAATAAAATCTTAAAAAAATTTTTTTTAGGTTCTCCATTGAGTCCATTATTGGTTAATATTTTTAGCTTCCTCTGATTCATTGGTTCTCAAAGGATTCTTTGGACTTGTACAGACAGAGTCCGTGAAGAACCTCCTAGGGGCTTAGTGAAAGAAAAAAAGCAATGGGAATTGGGAAGCTGTGGCTTCTGCTTGAAGCTCCACTAACTACAGTGGGCTCTAAGCTTGGAGCACTGCAGAGGGTTTTTATACTTTGTAGTCTAAACTGTTTAAAATACAAAAGGTGTCTTTATCATAGGATGTTTCAGATATTTCGCAAAGAAGAATAGGAAGAATATCTGTTGAGCCTGTATCAACATTTTCTGAGTTTTATAGAATTTTCCTTCTTCAAACTGTTGGTGTTTTGTTTTAATGAAATCCTAAAGAATGAACTTTGAGACTTCATAGCAGAAACATTCCCAAGCTTTTATTCCATTCTTTTTTTTTTTAATTTAATTAATTTTTGAGTAGGCTCCATGGGGCCCAACATGAGGTTCGAACTCACGACCCTGAGATCTTGACCTGAGCTGAGATCAAGAGTTGGACACTTAACTGACCAAGCCACCCAGGCACCCCTTATTCCATTCTTTCTGAGAGCTGAATATCCATCTTATTTGTCCTTTTTGGAATAAATTTATAGTTGGACTAGAGTTTCTTACAGTGATTTGTCTTTTTTTTTTTTTTAAGATTTTTTATTTTCTGACAGAGAGAGAGACAGCAAGAGAGGGAACACAAGTGGGGGGAGAGAGGGAGAGAGAAGTAGGCTTCCTGCAGAGCAGGGAGCCCGATGCGGGGCTTGATCCCAGGACCCTGGGATCATGACCTGAGCCGAAGGCAGACGCTTAACGACTGAGCCACCCAGGCGCCCCCTTATAGTGATTTATCTTAAGATCCTATTCTAGAAATACAGGTAGCATTTGTTTGGAGCAGAATGGTTTTTATCATCTTTGGAACCTTTATTTAAAAAAAAAAAAAAATAACATCCTGAGTTTAGTTTGGTATGAAATGCTGTATTCTAAAATGCTGTAAACTGTTGATTAATTAGAAGCTCTACTCCCTTCGCTAAAGGCTTGTGAAAAATAGAGGATGCAGGACTTTAGTTTCCTTATTTTACATAGTAGGAAGTCTAGAGATACTCTAAACTTAGTAAGTCTGCAAGTAGAGGTTTAAAGCTATATGAAAGTGATCATGGCAAAAATAACAATGTGATTGGCAGGGGTTGGTGAGAGGAGGATGATTTAAATGCCCTAAACTTACCTTTCCTGAAGGACAGGTCAGTGTTTAAAATTGGTAGATCAAGAAAGCATACTTGTTTTTTTTGTGGGTTTTTTAAAATTATTTTTCTGTACTATTTGCATATTTTTTCTTAGAAAATGGGTGTGTTACTTGTACTTTCCCCCCACAACCAAAACAAAAACAAACCAGAAAACTAGGTTATAATTCTACCCTGAAAACTAAAGAAAAGTTGTTTCCAGAAAAAGAAGTTGGTGCGGTTCTCCTTTATATCTAATATCAGGCTTCAGATGAGGCTTAAGCCTCCTGATTACTGAAACTTGGAATAATGAAGGGAAATAAGTCACTAGAAGATTTAGGGCCTGCCTTTATCAAACAACGTTTGTATGAAGGTTTTCTGATTCTGTAAACTTAATTTGTAACTTTTGGGGGTATTTGTGTTTGTTTGTATTTATTTTCTCCCAGATTTGAGACAAAAAGAGGTTTTGCTACATGGTTCTCCATACTTTTTTAAAAAATTGCTTTGGGACGCCTGGGTGGCTCAGTTTAAGCATCTGCCTTCGGCTCAGGTCATGATCCCAGGGTCCTGGGATCGAGTCCCACATCGGGCTCCTTGCTCAGTGAGGAGCCTGCTTCTCCTTCTCCCTCTGCTGCTTCCCCTGCTTGTGCTCACTCTCTCTCTGACAAATAAATAAATAAAAATCTTTAAAAAAATTAAAAAAATTGCATTGACACAGCTATGATTCTAGTACAGTCTTCAGAATTCAAGCAGTCTCTCAGTATTTTATGGGAATGCAACTAATTGTTGAAGAAAATAAATTTGGGGAAATGTAAGTTTCAGTTGACCTCTGCCATTCTTTTATAATGGAGGTGGAAAACTGAAATATGTAACAGCATGGTAGAGAACCAGTTAATTATGTTCATATATCTCCTCTTTGTTCCTTTTTGAGCCAGAAGTGTAGGTGTGATTAGGTATTCAGAGTCAGTCACATGTCGAGCATTTTGTAATGTTGTTGGGGCTATATTATGAAAGCACCCAGATATAACTTGTATAGTATACTTACAGTGTCCCACAGAAATGTTGCCAGTGTTAGTAACTTAATAGCAGTAAGAATCATATGTTTTCTTTGGTCTCACACTTGTCTGGATATATAGGTTCTTTCCCATGATATATACTAACCATTTACCAAGAAAAAGGGTAACATTTATGGTTGTAAGTTATAGATGTTACGGAGACAAAAGAGCCATAATCCTTTTTTACATTCAATTGCAAATACAACATACATGTATATACATATATGTACCTACTGTGTGTCCGCCATTCAGAGAGTTTCGGGACACAGTCTTGTCTGCCAGGAGTTTAGTCAGGTGGAAGAGATGAGATGATTACCCATATGCCTTATGTCTGTAACGTAAGGTAGAACATCTGGGCAGTGAAAGAGAGACTGGTATTTCTAGCCTTGATGCCCTTCCTTGATGGCTCAAGGAAACAAATCACTTTTCCATTTGAGATTGACGGAGAGTCCTTTTTGGCAAAAAGGTTCACATGGTTTGTGTGACTCTCATATCCTGCTGCTGCTTTTGTTCTGGAGGTGGTTCTGATCCAGAGGGGAGGGAACGGTATGAAAGCAGCAGTGACAGGGCACTCAGCAGTCCATAGATAGATTGCATGGTTACCCCCTGGTAATTGAGAATTACTATCTATCCCTGCAGGTTAAATCTTAGGGTAAATACCACAATGAAAAACTTGCTGAATTAATTTCTGAATTTTAGTAGTGACCTAGTTAATTTAAAGCACTATTCAACTCCCTCCTCCCAACTAATTTTAATAATACTAGTTAGTACTTAAATAGTGCTATCTATGTTGGATGCTCTTCTAAGTACTTTACATATGTTTAACCTTTATGGCAATTCTATATGGTAGATACTCTTTTGTCCCCATTTTATACACAAGAGAACTAAGGTTAACTAACTTGTCCAGGGTTTCAGCGCTAAGGAGAGATCAAGCTGGGATTTGGACCCTGGCAGGCTAGCTCCAAAATCCATGCTTTTGACCAGTAAGTTGTGCTATAAAACAATGTGAGCAGTATATGGCAAATGGATTTTTGGTGTTTCTGGTGGAAGATGAAGTATATATTCCCTTTCTCTAGGGTCTTGCTACAGCTAGATGGCATATGTGTTCTTCACTCTAGGACATCATTGGCAGCAGAAATTGAACATGTCAATAGGAATCCCTGCTCCTAGCTTCCTTGGTAGTCCTCTCTGTGATGGTCACAGAGTAGTTTTGCATGTGACTTTTACTGTCCAGTGCTTGGCTCTGCAGAGAAGATGGCATTGACCTAGTGCTGGGTGGAGAGTGTGTTTTCAGCCTGTTTCATCCAGTACTGTGACGCATGCCTTTGTTTTTTGTTTTCAGTGTGATAGTTTGATTTAAGAAATGTTTATAGAAACAATTTTTAGACACTGTTAACTAAAAAAAGAATAAGGTGGTATAATAACTTTATTTTGAATTCTAGATGTACAAAGCTGCCTTGAATATTCCACTCTGTTGCAAGCATGATTGCTCTGCATTTCAGAATATGAAAACAGTAGCATGATTTTGACTTCTGACATTTATTTTATTTTTAGGAACCCTGAGGACTCTGCAATATGAATAATTCTCTGGAAAACACCATTTCCTTTGAAGAGTACATCAGAGTAAAGGCGCGGTCTGTCCCGCAACACAGGATGAAGGAATTTCTGGACTCGCTAGCCTCTAAGGGGCCGGAAGCCCTTCAGGAGTTCCAGCAGACAGCTACCACTACCATGGTGTACCAACAGGGTGGGAACTGCATTTACACAGACAGCACCGAAGTGGCTGGGTCTTTGCTTGAACTTGCCTGTCCAGTCACCACCAGTGTTCAGCCGCAAACCCAACAAGAACAGCAGATTCAGGTTCAACAGCCACAGCAGGTTCAGGTAAAAGGGAGATGTTGAGGTGCATTCTGTTTAACAGATTTTATTTGCCATCAGGGTTTTGGTTAGTAGGAACATCACATCTTATATACAAATGTCCAAGGTTGTTTTCACTAAGGGGAGTACTCTGGTATTTTAAAAAACATTTTATTTAACATAAAGGCTTTCATAGTACAGACTAAAAATATTTGCAACTACCATAAACTAAAAAGATTACAGATACTTGCCATTTGCTTTGGAGAATTGAACAGTATAGGAATTAGTGGTCTTCTGGGACTGGATTTGGATGTGACACAGCTGTGCGTAACTGAAGGTTCCCTTTTGTCTGTGTCACCCTGAACAGATCAAGGGCAGAGGAGGGGCTCGTGTTAGCTCATTATTTAAAGCATGACGTTTGAAACTTGTTTTAAAATGGATATGATATATTTTAGTGATCTTCATTTAGTTTTGTGGTTCCCTGACTTAGGTCACTTGTAGATTTCTAGGTCTGCATTTACTATTTGTAATCCTCAGGAAATGCTAATTGATAATGAGCTTACAGAAAGAGGAGAAACTTAATACATTTGCTGAGAAGGTAAAAGTGCCTCTTTAGGGGTTCCTTATATGAAACTAACAGTATGCTCCATTTACAAATGCTGCTTTCTTGCTCCTGTCTATTGTGATTCTGTTTCATTCTGCCCTCACTGCTTTTTCCACCAAGAGAATTAGAAAGGGTAGAACCTCACGGACGGGCAAGGACTGTGGAGAGGTGTGTCTGATGAGATAGAAAGACTGTGGCCTCTTTGCTTCTTAGGAATGCAGGCAGGTATATTGGAAGGACCTGGGCTCTGGAGTAGGATTCCTAGGTTTAAATCTGGCTTGACCTACTATTTGTTGACATGATTTAAATCTTTTCAGCCCTAGATTTTTCATCTGTTAAATTTAGTGAGACTGAATGAGATAATAGACAAGAAAACATTTAGCACGTAGAGGAATGCAGTCATTGTTTTTTCCTTTTTTTTTTTTTTTTTAAGATTTTATTTATTTGACAGAGAGCACAAGCGGGGAGCAGCAGGCAGTGGGAGAGGGAGAAACAGGCTTTTCGCTGAGCAGGGAACCTGATGCAGGTCTCAGTCCCAGGACTCTGGGATCATGACCTGAGCTGAAGGCAGACTCTTAACCAACTGAGCCACCCAGGCGCCCCTGTTTTTTCCATTCTTTATAAGGAAGGAGGGGTACAGGAAAGGTAGATAAGAGGAGGCTGACTTTTTGGTTTGAGAAATTATTCTGCTGTTACTTACAGCATGGACTTCCTTTTTCCTAAGATTAAAATGGTTTGGGATATGGGCGTCAGACTGGCTAAATCCGTAGAGCATGCGATGTGACTCTTGATCTTGGGGTCTTGAGTTCAAGCCTCATGCTGGGCATAGAGCTCACTTTAAAAAAATAAAAGGGAAAAAGAATGGTTTGGGATTTGAGTCTAAAGTGTTGTTTGAGACTTTATGTTTAAGATGGCTGACCTCAGTTATTAACATCATCTTCTTTCCTCAAAACACCTGTAAATAAAAGAAGAAATATAAATATAATAAATCCATGAGATACAAGCACTGAGCATGGAGCTTGCTTAAGATTCTTTCTCTCCCTCTGCCACTCCCACCACTTGCGCTCTCTCTCTCACTTAAAAAAACAAAAAACTCTTACAGCAGATATAGTTTCATTAATTACTGGCTTAAGCCAGAGGGATTTAATTTTTCTAAAAGTTGGCTTTGTAGATTTAATTTAAATAAAGATTAAATTGATACTAATTAATGTTACTTACGTGAAAATTGACATTGTTAATCTAAAGCTACCAAAATCATGAGCCAGATAATATGACTGACGATACAACTTTATATAAGACTCCGAAAAAAACATTTTTTTTCTGAGTGACATCAGAATCAAATATACGCCTTGCAGTTACAAAATTATTATACAGGGGTGCCTGGGTGGCTCAGTTGGTTAAGCCTCCAACTCTTGATCTCAGCTCAGGTCTTGATCTCAGGGTCGTGAGTTCAAGCCCAGCTTGAACGCTCAGCTCCATGCCCACTTAAAAAAAAACACCACAGAATTACATACGCACGTCAGTTTCTTGAGCTCTTTTATAGGTCTATCTATACTCAGTTTAAAAAGATAGTTTTTTGGTTTTTTTTTAGATTTTATTTATTTATTTGACAGAGAAAGAGAGCACAAGTAGGCAGAGCAGCAGGCAGAGGGAGAGGGAGAAGCAGGCTCTCTGCCCAGCAGGGAGCCGGACATAGGGCTCGATCCCAGGACCCTGGGATCGTGACCTGAGCCGAAGGCAGCCGCTTAACCAACTGAGCCACCCAGGTGCCCCAAAAGAATAGTTTTTGAAACTAAAAATAGCACATGAGACATAGGGAGGTCAAGTCCCTTATCAGTAGATACTGTTTGCACCCAAACTGTTTTAACTGGAGCCTGTGCTTCTAAATAGTGTTTCTAATACATAAAGAACTCTTAGAAAGTAGAAAAAAATAATCTAGTAAAAAAAAAAATGAACAAAGGATATAAGTAGTTTATGGAAGAGGAAACACAGGTGGTGATCATAAGCATATCAGATGTTTCATACTACTGGTGATTATAGAAGTATAAATTTTAAAAGTGAAATATATTTCATTTATTAGATAGGAAAACATTTATAAAGATTTCACCCAGGACAGCAAGGATATGGAGAGGTTAAATTTGTCACTTTGGGGCGCCTAGGTGGCTCAGTTAGTTAAGCATCTGTCTTTGGCTCAGGTCATGATCCAAGGGTCCTGGGATCAAGCCCTGTGTCTGGCTTCCTGCTCAGTGGAGAGCCTGCTTCTCCCTCTCCCTCTGCTGCTTGTGCTCTTTCGTTTGCTCACTCTCTCTCAAATGAATAAATAATCTCTTTTTTTAAAAATGCGAAAAAAAATTAGTGTAACTTCTTGGAAGTGATTTTGGCAATACTTGTCAGATGTTTAAGTGTGTATACCTTTGGTCTTGCATTTGTGTTCACAGATATATGTGTATATAGGGGTATTCACTGCTGCACTAATAGTAGAAGTAATACTAGAAACAAGTCACTCAGTAAGGGAAATGGAAAAATGGTACAATTGTAGTGTAGTGTCCTATGTGCCAGAAGAATGAGGTAGATCTATGTATTTTGACAGGGTAGGATGTTTAACACATTGCTGAGTGTCAAAACCAGTTTAGTATCACTGATTTTTAACATGTAGAATGTAGTGGTCCTTAAATAATAGTAGTAAAGTTCAAAACAGTAATTGGGTTCAGGAGTGGGGTGCTAAGGAGGAGAGCTCAAATTTTTATTTGTTTGTTTGTTTATTTTTAAGTAGGCTCCATGCTGGGCTTGAATTTTTTTTTTTTTTTTAAGATTTTATTTATTTATTTGAGACAGAGAGAATGAGAGAGAGCACAT